CGCGCCGCGCGTCCTCCCGTGTCAGGCGCTGCGTCACCGGACGGCTCCCGCTGTCAGGCGCTGCGTCACCGGACGGTTCCCGCTGTCAGGCGCTGTGTCACCGGACGGCTCCGCTGTCAGGCGCTGCGTCACCGGACGGCTCCCGCTGTCAGGCGCTGTGTCACCGGACGGCTCCCGCTGTCAGGCGCCGCGTCACCGGACGGCTCCCGGTCCGTGTCACGGCGGGGTCGTCACTCGCCTTGAGCAGGCCGGCGGGCAGAACGCACCAGAGGCACCGGATACCGCCACGCGCCGGTCCCGCGGCCGCGCTTGGCTGCGACTCGCGCTTCCACCGGCGCCGCCCTCCCCACTCGCGGTCGACACGACCACGCCAGCTCGGCGGGACGCTCGTGACGAGCTGGGCTGCGTGCCGGGCCGCGACGGCCCCATCCGATGTCTGCCGCCGCCGGCCGGCCGCTATCGGGGCTGGCGTTATCGGGCAGGGGTCTCGGCCGATAGCCGGCGGCCGGGGCGCCGCTGCCGCAGCGGAGCTGCTGTGCGTGAGACGAGGCAGGTGCGACGCTGCGGAGCGTGCGACGACGGACGGCGCGGCGAGCGTGACGCCCCGCCGGCGCCGACCAGAAGGCGACCTGAGCTGTGTCGCGACGTGGCTGGGAGTGTTTCGTGGACGGCGGCGGCGACAGACGCGGCGTGGGGCTCCCGGCCCGCCTGCGGGATCGCCCGTCGCTCGGTCTGGCAGAGCGACTGTGACCGAACGGCGGTGACATCGGTCCAGCGGCGCTGCTCAGCCGGCGGGCAGCGCTCAGCGGCCACCATGCTCGGCTTCGACCGCGCCATGGCCGACCCAGACATGGCCGAGGTGGTTGCTGAGTCGGAGCGCCTGGGCGGCGACGACGAGGGCGCGCTGGGCGAGCTGGTCAGCTCATGGCTAGGCCTGGGCGCCGGCGCGCCGGCCGTGCTGCAGCTGGATGACCAGGGCGTGGCTGCGGCCGACCCGCTGGACCGGAGAGTGACGCTGCCCCGCCACCGCTCTCGGCGCCCAACCCCGTCCGACGGCGACGGTGGCGGCGCGACGCCGTCGTCTCTGGCGGCCGCGCAAGTCGCATCTCCGGCCGCAGCGGGCCGACTCTCCGGCCCGCGGCGGACGGCTCTCCGGCCGCGGCGGACGGCTCTCCGGCGGTCGGCACGTTCCGTGAGCGGCTGGCCAGCCATGTTCAGCCGGTTGGCAGTGGCAGGCAGCGGCCTCGCCTCCCGTCAGTGTGCTGCAGACGCCGCCGCCTCCCGCGCCGCGGCCGTCGGTCGCTCCGCCGCTGGAGCAGACCCGCTCGCCGGCCGCTGCCGCCGCTGCCGCCGCTGCCGCCGCTGCCGGCGCCGGCCGGCCGGACCCGATCCTGCTCAACCCGGGGCTGCTGGAGGTGCTGGAGGGTCGCGCACTGCAGGAGCCGCCGCCCTCCGCCGCCGCTGCTGGACCGTCGGCGTCGGTCGGGCGTGGCCGCGGTCGGCCGGCTGCTGCCGCTGCCGCTGCTGCAGCTGTCGCACAGTCAGTTGGCGCGGCGTCGCTCGGCCCCGGCCCGACGCAGTAGTGACGCGGTCGCTTCTGATGCGGTGGCCCGCTGGTGTGGTGGAGGTGGCCGTTGGCGTCCGTGGGACTGACGCTCAGTGTCGGGACAATCAGTGGCTGGCCGCCGTGCTGCTTATGTGGCTGCTGGCTGGGGCTGTTATACTGGCAGGGATTTACAGTGTATAGATCCTGACCTTCCTATAGACTAATGCGTTGTGTTTGTATATAGACCAGAACTGGGACAAAGTGAGACGGCGCGCGTGCCACGAGGTGGATGGTGGCGGGACTGCCGCCGCCACCTGACTGGAGTGGTGTGCGTCAGGCGCCGGTCACGCGGCAGTCAGCCCGGTGCGCCCAGGAACAAGGCTGGTCCATACCCGATCTGTGCGAGACCATGGCTGAACCTCGGCTGGCGCGCGCCCGAGCCTCTCTCCGTGCGAGCTGACTGACACTGGGGCGCGGGCATCTGGCCTCTGGCCGCAGGGGCTCCGAGTGGCTTCCGACCAAGTTCCTCAGCGGCGCCAGTATCCGCCGTTGGCGGTGTGAGATGATTTGAACAGCAACGTGGCTTAGGGCACGGGCATGGGAACGGACAGGCTTCGGCAATCTTAGCTGTTGCCATATGATGTGTTTGTGGCGATGGTCGAACATCGCAAATTGCTACCCGCTGCCGTCTGACCGGGGGTTTGCTGGTTTGCTGCCCGCCTCTCTGACCCCTCTGGTACGCCTCCGTTCTCGGCCGGCGCGCGCTGGACAGTGTTGGCTTGTGCCGCTTCCGTTGTATTTCCGGCCGTGTGACTCGGCTGCTGGTCATATCCCAGTCACAGCCGCGGTGTGACTGCGGACGGGTTTTCAGCAGACCTGGGACGACTCCCTGCACACAGTCCTCCCCTCGATGGGCCGCCATTCGACGTTCTCTGGTCGCTGCCGTGGCGTGCTCTGCATCAGACGTTCTGTGGGTCAGCGGGCCGTCAGGGAACCCGCATTTTAAAACCCCGGCGCGGGCTGCAAAGAAGAGGATCGAATTATTGCCTGCTGTGCACGGTCTGTCCTCCCGGGCATCGAGGCGGGCGATAAGGTTCTGCTGGCTCGGCCTGTGCCGCGGAGCCCGTGGCGTACTGCAGCGCGGCTTCGGGCAGCGGCGGGGGTGGAAGGCCTCTGCCCGTGTCGGCCGGGCCCCGGCTCCGGCGGAAGAGTCTGTCCGGCGGCCCGGCCGGGCCGAGTCCTGCCGCCGTCACCGGCCAGCGGCTGGCTGTCCCAAGTGGCGGTCCGTTACCCGCGACCCTGACCTCCGGCGGCGGCGGTCCAAAGGCGCCGCCCGAACCCGCCCCCGTCACCTCGGCGGGCGGAGCTGGACCCGGTACCGTGCCGCGTCCGAGCCGCCGGGCGGGCGCGGCCGAAGTCGCGGCTCGAGCTGGCCGGTCTCACGCTCGTGGCGGGCTCGGCTGCGGTTGGGCGGCGCGCGGGTGGTGGAGGCCGGGGGCGAGCCCCGCGCCGAGACGTGTCGACCGGACTGCGGCTCCGCGCCGAGGCGGCACGTGTCGCTGGACTGCGGCCCCGCGCCGAGACGTGTCGCCGGACTGCGACCGCCGCTCCGAGACGTGTCGCCGGACTGCGGCCCCCGCGCCGAGGACGTGTCGCCGGGCTGCGGCCCCGCGCCGCGACGCGTGTCGCCGGACTGCGGCCCCGCGCCGAGACGGTACGTGTCGCCGGACTGCGGCCCCGCGCCGAGACGTGTCCCGGACTGCGGCCCCGCGCCGAGACGTGTCGCCGGGCTGGCGGCCCCCCCGCGCCGAGACGTGTCGCCGGACTGCGGCCCCGCGCCGAGACGTGTCGCCGGACTGCGGCCCCGCGCCGAGACGTGTCGCCGGACTGCGGCCACCGCGCCGAGACGTGTCGCCGGACTGCGGCCCCGCGCCGAGACGTGTCTGCCGGACTGAGGCCCCGCGCCGGAGACGTGTCGCCGGACTGCCGGCCCCGACGCCGAGACGGTGTTGCCGGACTGCAGCCCCGCCGCCGAGCGCGTTGCGGTGTCGCCGGAGGGGAGGGACTCGGTCGTTAAAAGGGGTTTGTGATTCGCCGTGCGTTCCGACGCAACCCTTTCCCCCCCCCCCCCCCCCGAGCTCCTCCGCCAGCAAACAGGGTGCCCTGCGGAGCTCCCCGAGCACGACCATTCAGGCGCTGGTTCGGTAGACGGCTGGTCACTGGCGCTGCACTTCCGCTGACCTGACCCCGACTGCTTTCGACGAAGTCGGCCGGTTACAGGCGACCTTGCTTCCGGTCGTTAGATGTCCTGTTATCCTGGGCGACACGCCGGTGATGCTACCTGCGTTGAGGTGGAGTCTGCTCATGGTGTTTCCTGCAAGTGCCATGACAAGGTGGCGAAAACCTTGCCTTAAGGCAATGGTTAGGTCAAACGGGGTCACGGCAGCCGAGGACCAGGGACGGCCGAATCGTTGCATAAATGCAGCATGTACCATGCAAACGCGTTGCAGTCTCAGGAAGGCAGTGAACCGTGGTGGATTAGCATGTACTTGACCCATTTTGATAAGCTGCGGTGGTCTAAGGGTAGGGATAGAAGGGTTGTAACGTTCCGAAACATTTCAAGTGACTCTGCGTTCTGTGATAGCCCATTAATCATATAACTAGTTGTATCCTTTGCAACGGGAATCGCATGCATGTATGTGATCGTGCAGTCTTCTAGTTTTCCCAGATCTAATGACTTAATTGGACTATGCGTTGGCGGGATGTGCCGTAGTTCAGGGGCGCGCGGCCCCATTCTTCAGGCTATTGCAAAGTAACGGACAATTCCCCTAGTCATAGACACATTGACGAATGACCGGGGTTGAATGGCGGCGAAAGTCAACAGCACGGCCGAGCGTTGCGTGCTTTGGCGCTGCGGCCCGGCTGATTGAAGGCCGGTGGCGCTGCAGTGGCGCGCCGCGGGCGGCGTGATGTGGGCCATGTCATGGGCCGGCGCCCCGTCCGACCCCGGTCCAGGCTCGGTAACCTCACGCCTGCGCTCCGCTGCTTCGGAGCCCTGTGTCCCCGAGTCCAGTCCGGAGCCCGAGCCCGAGCCCGAGCCCGAGCCTGAGCCCGAGCCCGAGCCCGAGCTGAGGCCGGCCCCGGTACCACCCCGTCCGCTTGCTGCATGGCCGCTGCACGTTAGAAAGGTGTTGTCCCATGCCGCGTGTCTCCTCCATGTTGTGTGCTGTATTTCTGTCCTGTTATCGTGACGGATAATGCTGGAGGACCGGATGGGGGACTGAGGGCTGTCATCTGAATACTCGTCGACATTGCGCCTGCGGTCTGGTTGTTCTGTCGACAGGCGACGAGTGACCTGTGCTGTTCTGTTCGGTGATCTGTCTGTTGTGCCGTTCTGAGCCCGCGCTTTTTGGCTGGGTGGCACGCTCTGACCGGCCGCCCTGCCCACCGACAGGCGCCGAGCCCGGTGCTGAGCTGCTGGAGGGGCCGCAGAAGGAGGGCCCCGCCATGCCCCGTCATCCGCACAAGAGCGTCGACTACGTCGGCATGTTCGAGTACAAGAAGGAGGACGAGGAGGCCCTCATCCGCAGTCTCATCTTCGGTGAGGCGCCCCGCACTCAGCGGTCCGCCCAGTCCACCGGGCCGGCTGCAGTCCACCTGGCGTTTTTCTTGCAACCCGAGGAGATGCCATGTTTTAGTTCTGCTATACAGTTCGGTATGATTCAGTGGAATCTGCCTAACCTGTATTCGGCACTCACCGAGAACTGTTATGTATAAGCCTGTTACGCTGCCGCGGACATCACGCGTGGCGCCTCTGTTGTGCTTGAAGCAGGACCAGAGTTATTTTCCCGGGCAGTGTCATCTGCGCATTGTGCCCGACACCCTGCTGTGTACCCACTCGCCCACACTTGCGGCGCTGCTGTGGCCGGCCTCAGCCAACTGACCAGCCGGCCGGCTGGTCGGCCGGTCATGGCTGCTCTGTAGGTCTCTGTTGCCTGCGGCGCTGTGCTGAGGCGGTGTCCCTGGGTCGTTGTGGTGTGGTGGGTCTTGCGGGACTTACTTCGTGTTGGTCTTATGAATGCTCTCACTTGACATATTCACTTGACCTATTTGCTTGAGTGGGTGTTGAAGTCAGGTTCTTTCTTGAGCGTGCCTCGTTGTGTGGACCGCGTCTCGCAAGCGTTCAGAGGTTAGGATAGTTGTTTACCGAGCTTAAGAGTGTCCGTGGTACCGAAACTGTCCGTGCCAGGTCTGGCAACGATATGAGATGTGTTTTCGATGGAAGACAGTCGTCTGTTAGGGGATGAATTATGGCGTAGCTGCTCGGCGATAAGTCCTGCTGCTCACGTGCTGCGACTGTGACGGTTGCCGTGACTGTGACATGATCTGTCGGCATGAGTGTCGCGGTCACCGTCGCCGCGACTGGGAGCGGAGCCGGGCCGTGACTGGGAGCGGGGCTCAGGATCGGTGACTCGGGGTTGAGCTCCTTCGCCAGACACAGGCTGGGCCGTCGTCGCGACCGTCACGTGTTTCCGCGACTGTAACCGGCGAACTGTTGCCGAGACTGTCTCGACGACCTGTGACCCGTGACCGATGTCGCAGCCGATGTTGTCGTGCTGGCGATGGCTGGTGAATTCACCCTCGGTCCGCCAGACCTGCGACCGAAGACGGCGGCCGTCCTGCTGCCCGGCCTGCCCGCTTACATCTTGTTCATGGTGCATTCGACACACGGACCATGTCAACGACGACGAGAAGGTGCGCCGCCTGCTGACGGCCGCCATCAACGGCGTCAAGCCGTGGTGAAGAAGCGACGCGACGACGCCGACTCGCTCGTCATGTGGCTGGCCAACGTGTGCCGCCTGCTGCACAACCTCAAACCGTACAGCGGCGACGTGGTGAGCGGGACGGACGGACGGGACGGGACGGGGACGGGACGGACGGGACGGGACGACGGGACGGGGGGGACGGGGACGGGGACGGGGACGGGGACGGGGACGGGGATGGGGACGGGGACGGGGACTGGGACCGGGACCGGGACCGGACCGGGACGGGACGCAACGGGACGCTTGCTGGCATGTGTGAAGCTTACGTGGAGGTGAAGTGGTATCTGAGCATGGGAGGCAAGTATCCAAACGTTGGACGCGTGGACTAATGCTGTGCGAGTGCCGGTCCAGTTATTTAATAAGGCTGTGGTTGCATTTTGTCTGTTGCATGTAACCTTCTACCGTGATCCTTATGAAAGGTATGCACACTTAGGGCATTGCTTTTCCGACACAATGTTGGTAGCGTGATTCCGCCCGTCTGCCACATCATTCACGTTCAGTTTTGTTGCGTGCCAGGCGTTCCAGTCGGAGAACACTGAGAAACAGAACGAGCAGTGTCTGAAGAGCTTCGACCTGTCCGAGTACCGCCAGGTGCTCTCCGACGTCGCAATGTGGATATACCAGGTACGCCGGTCTCCCGGCTCGGCCCGCTGCGGATGTGCCGGGTGCGCTTGCCTTGACCCCTCGAAAGTGGCGTGCGAATGTGTCACGTACGCTGGCCTCCCGTCTGACGCAGCCGTGTGGCTATACCTCGTGGACCCGACCAGGCCCTCTGAACCTACCTGGCCGCCGTGCGCGTCAGCAGGGGGTCAGGCGGCTGGGGGGGGGGGGGGGGGCGCATGCAGACGATGGTGATGAACTAACCCCGCCATCCTGTGCGGCAGCTGGTGATCAAGCTGCTGGAGGAGCGCGTGCAGCCGGTGGTGGTGCCGGCCGTGCTGGAGCACGAGGCCATCGCCGGCCTGACGGGTCGGCCGGCCGGCATCCGCGGTCGTGCCGGCTCCTCGTCCCGCCAGCTGGAGAGCCCCGTGAGCAGCGAGCACGCCCTGGACGCCCTGATGGCCAGCCTGCGCAAGATCTACCGCACGCTCTGCGAGCTCGGCGTCGACCCGGAGATCACGGCGCAGGTCTTCAAACAGGTCAGCGGGGGCCGCCACTGCACGCGGCGGCCGGGCCCCGGCGCTCATTGGGGAGGCGGCGGCTGCAGGCGGAACACGGCGTCACGTTGGGCCACGGACCGGTGCGGGCCGGCGGGAGGCAGTCAAACCCAGAACGTCCGGCTTCCGCGTCCAGCTGGGGAGGACTGTGGCATGCCCCGTCATGCAGTCTACGTGTGACTCGCGCGTGTCAATCGGCTTGGTTTCTAAGCAGACGCGGTGTAGTCTAGGAGTATTTGGTACCTGGAAAAGGTCGTGTATGCAGGTGGAAACGTCTGTTTGACATGCCCACAGCTGTCTTCAGGACTGGGAAGTTCCGTGTTTCTGCCTGTGATGTGACATATGGCGAGGATAGCTGAGCTGGCGCGTGCTCAGTAGCGGGCTGTCGAGCAGCGTCTGGCTGTCGGCCTGCCGACGCCGCACGCCTCTGATGCTGACTGTTCTCCGTCCCTCTCTCCAGCTGTTCTACTCGATATGCGCGCACTCGCTGAACAACCTGCTGCTGCGCAAGGAGCTGTGCCACTGGACCAAGGGCATGCAGATCCGCTACAACCTCTCGCACCTGGAGCAGTGGTGCAGGGACAACCGGCTCCACGTGAGGCGTGACCCCTGCCATCCCTCTCCGGCGGCCGCAACGGCGAGGGGCAGGACTGTGGTCTCACTGGTGACGTCGCATTTTCCACCCCTGTCAATCCTTCGGCCAGGGGAATCGATATACGGTTTGGGGGCGGCACCTTTGGGCGCCGGGCACAGCCTAAACCGGGCGGCTTGAGCCTGCCCGGGCCCCGCCCGGGTACTGGTTGTTAAGCGCATTATTGGCCTCCATTCGCCGGGAAAAACGCCAGTGGGATAGATGTTGCGACGAGGCTATCACGAGCTGAAGCATTGCGACACACATGCATCACGCACTGACTTCTCCGTTGCCAATGCTTGGTCGGCACTGGTCGAACGTTTGCCGTTCGGTGGTGCCGTGCAGCCCATGATGTGTGACGCCACGCGGCCGGTCGCCGCTGACGCCCGCCCTCGCCGCCGGCAGCAGGACCAGGAGACGGGCGTCATGGACACGCTGCAGCCCATCATTCAGGCGTCGCAGCTGCTGCAGGCGCGCAAAACCGAGGAGGACGTGTCGCGTGTTTGCGACATGTGCGACAAGCTCACCTCTCCCCAGGTGGGTGGCGGGTCCGCCGCGCCGCCGACACCCGCTCTGACGGGCCGGGACGTGGCCCGGCCTGGCGCGCGCCGCTGGCTGGCGGTGTTCAGCGGGAGAGTGGGGTCGCGCCGACAGACGGACGGTCTGTGGCGGCCCTCGCTGGCCGGGGCCTGGGCCGCGCGCGGATTGGCTGTCGGCGTCAGCTGAGCCCACTAACGGGCCTCCCGGTGCCGCAGATCATCAAGATCCTGAACCTGTACACGCCGGACGAATACGAGGAGCGCGTACCGATCAGCTTCATTCGCAAGGTTCAGGACCATCTGCAGAAGCACCGCGAGCCGGACACGGACAGCTCGGTCAGTGGCGGGCTGCGTCAGGCGCCACCGCCTCCACTCGGCTGGTGGTGACCTCTGCTGCATCTGTCGCGATGATAGATGTGATAGTGGGAAGTGGGTTGTGGTGGGAGGGGGAGATAGAATGCAAGGTTGCAATGTTCTGTTGGGTGCTTGACTGCGATGTTACTAGATTGTTGATGACTACTCGTATTTTGTGAGAAAGTGCTCCCGCCAGTCTAGTGAAAATATCGTGTGCACCCAGTTTTGTCTTCAATGTAAACGTGGCTTACAAAGTGGTTTCGGCTCCCAGGTGTCCATGGGCGATGGCATCCGTTTGTGGTAGATTAGTGCTGATTGCGCCGCTGTCTCAGTGGCGGGCCTCAGGACACTGTGTCGGGCTGTGGCACTGTTGGTGTGTAGGCGCACCCGCCGGCCGCCGCCCGCTCGTCTGACGTCACGGCTGACGTCACGGGCTCGTTGCAGGCGCGGCTGCTGATGGACACCAAGTTCGCCTTCCCCGTGCGGTTCCCGTTCAACCCCTCCAACATCCGGCTAGAGGACATCGAGATCCCGGACATCCTCAACTTGCCCATGCTGAAGAAGTTGTGAGCCGCTTACTGCGCCTACTGCGGTGGAGTCGGCTCCGGGACGGCGCCGACCGAGAGATGGCGCCGTCGGCCCGCCGCCGCCGCCCGGGCGGAGGGCACTGCGCCACGCACGAGCGCGACAGGCGGTCACCACGCCGGCCGGTGCTGACGGGCGGCCGCGGCCCGGCTGGCCCGCGCCGATACGCCTGGGGTGTGTACCGAGGGGGAAATTACGCCGGCCCGGCGGCGGGCGCGCCAATCGGCTCGGGCAGGCAACTATTTATGTCTATTTATGTTCTTTGTTATCGATAGCTTTATCATGGTTTGTTGATTTTGCGGAGGATCAGCTTCAGGTCTGTGGCAATACTGTCGACGGCTGCTCTGCTCGCACGGGTGCTGTGCGAGTCGGCAGTGCGGCGCGTGTCTGGCCAGCGGTGCTCCGCAACGGGCAGCTAATTCACGGGATTCCACGACCCCGGCGGGCGTCAGCGATGTATGTTTCCCTCGTCTGCAACGGTCGACGATTCAGTTACGGTCACAATTGGAGCGCTTTTATGATTGGCATGTGATTTGACTCGCCGCGTGGCGCGGTCCGCCGCGTCGGCGTCGTCTCGTGCCTCTCCCGGCACGTTCAACGTGACATTCCTTACGATGTGATAGCTGCTCTTTTAGAGATCCCGCCCTCGTTTCGTGTTGCCCGCGCGGTGTCTACTTAGGCCTGCGTCGTTCAGCTCGGTTGGCGCGCGGACGCCAGCGGTCGGCGCCGTTGTTTTGTAACTGCCGGTCGGTGCCGGGGCCCTCCGCGTTAGCCTGCCGCTATGTAGTGGAATATACATGTGCTGCGAGACCGGCCTGTGCAGGCGGCGCGCGGTCGGCAGCGAAGACGCCCAGGCGGCGGCCAGCAGCACAGGCGGGCATGGTAGCCCCGTGACGGGTACGTGAGCCGAGGTGGCCACTGCACTGGTGACAGCCCATTCCTGCCGCTCGGTGAAACGGGGAGCGGAGGGCATTCTGCGGCGCATGAAGGCAGGCGAGGGGATGGAACATGTGGCAGGGTGTGGGACGCAAGTTGTGGCAACTCCAACTTGTCCGTCTCCTGCGCGTCTATCAAAGCGTGCCAAAATATCGGCCAGAACGGATGATAACACCTTTCTGCGAGCTGTCTGCACGTGCCAGTGACTGTCCAGCCGCCACAGACGTCCGACGGTTCGGCGTCTGACCTGGCCAGCTGCTTAATGCGACCACGCGGCGCCTGACAGGTCACAAGCGAACGATGATGGGCGCGTCTCCCGCTCAGCTCGTCATGTGTCGCCACGCCTGCAGCCGCCGGCGAGACAGGGGGCGGCGCGAGTCTGTGTGCTCGGGCGGTGCCGGGTGGGCACGTTCGCGGGCGTCCTGACGGGCCCCGCTGCCCACAGCCTCGTCAGTCCGGCCACCAGAATCACACACGCCAGACGTTCGCAGAGAGCTGTATTCGTTTGGCCGCGCGCACCACCTCAGCCGCTCGAGCACCGGTGTCGGGGGGAGAGCTTCTACCTGGCGCCGAGGTCGGTCGCGGTCCAAACAGGGCTCCAGCTCCTGCTGCCGCTCCTGCTAGCGGCGGCAGCTGGTGCGGCCGTTTAGGGTTCAGCCCGGGTCTCAGCCGCGCGGAACCTCGTCGCACAGTACTCTTCCTCTGAAAGGGAGCGGGCGGAACGGCAGATCAGATACGCAGACGTGATCTCGCGGGCGCGTCAGACAATGCTCAGTCAGGGCCGGCCGGCCGCCCAAAACTAGCGCTTCGTTGGGCCCAACAGTTCTGCCTGTCGCCTCTGTAGGCTTCTGGTGTCGCAGAGATAGAGGGTTGCAGGGAACGCCGGCTGTTCCGCGTTTCGCCAACTGAAGCCGCGTCTCGTGACGATTAATCCTCGCCTGGACGGCATCACTCCTGATTTGAGAAACACAAAGATTTCGGAAATTGCGCGGCTGCAGTCGGACACAAAGATGCCTCATCAGAAAGCAAGCATTCGTTCACTTGGCGCCGGCCGACCAACCCGAGCTTGGGCCGGTGGGTGGCCGCGGCACTAACCTGTTTTGCAGCCGACGGTGTAGTAGTCTCCGATGTAACCGTGCCGACACATACACCGGTAGCTGCCGAACGTGTTCATGCAGAGCACGCGCTCGCTGCGGCACTCGTTTCGCTCCAGCCGGCACTCATTGACATCTGGAAAGGCACGCGTGGCCGAAATGGTGAAGCGGGTGAGCCGACCGGGGTGCGTGTCCTTGTAAACATGCATACGTGCTCTATGCTTCTACGTCGCTATGTGTCATTTCAGTGCAGGTACATGTCATCTCGGTAAAGGCAAGCACAGGAGGGCGCATTTCCCATTTTGTGCCGAATGGAGCATCACCTGAGCTGAACTGTGTGCTGGTCAGCTCAGACGTTACTATTGGACCCAAGCTGGTGCGAAACTGACCTCCACAGCGGCGGCCATCCCACTGCCAGCCGACCGGACAGTGCAGCGTGGGCGGAGCGTACCCTGCGTCAGACGGCATAGGTCGGCATAGGTCAGACGGCATAGGTCACGACACGGGTGCACTACGGCACGGCGCGGTCTGATGAAATGATCCGCGTTAGCATCAATAGAAATACCAGACAAGTTTGTGTTAGACGCGAATTGATTTGTGCCAAGATATTAAATGCAATGATTTTCAAAAATATTACCAATACTTACATAATTTGGCGACTAATAATATTTTTGATCGCCAATAACCACGTAAAGAGACCGACCAGAACCTTCGCCAGTGCAGGACAATCGAAAAACGCGCTGACGAAGTGCTGCTTTTGAGCAGTCATGGTTACAATAGTTGAAAAGAAAGCGACGCAACGTTATGTAGCAGCGAGTTTGAACCTCCCTGAAAAAACGTCATATGATCGATCACGGCACAAGAATACCGCATCTGACGTCTATTTTACATCACCCTATCTCCGAGGCCAAATCATTAATATTACGTGTCATTTAAGGTCATATTCTAGTTCAAATGACACAGCCCCACATCATCCAAACGTTGCCGGCTGATTTCGGACTTTTCAGCGTTAGACTATTCACCGGCGCAGGAACTAGCATCCGTCAGAATTCTGACCTTTCCAGGTCACATTTTACGAGCGCGTAAGAGAACATAGCGTGTATTCGCCCGGACCCGTCCAAAAAACCGACTGGCGCATGCGAACGTCGGGTCCCTGCCGCCGCCTCAGCGGTCGACCCTTCACCCCCGGCGGATCGGGAGACCCGTGGTCAGGCGACGCCCCCCGGCACCCAGCCAGATGCAGAGCTCGGAAGACAGCGAGGGCGAGGGCGCACACCCGCACAATCACACCACACTTCCACCTGATCGCAAGCAATCATGCCACTCTACCAATGTACAACCACTCATAATCGTCAATGAGATCGGTAGGGGCACTGAAGCCGTACGACTCGGCTGGTTGCCGGCGAGCGCGACCGCTCCTCAGCGGTTCCCGTGACCCTCTCTCCTTGTGGAGGATCCGACCGAGGCGGTGGTAGCGCCGCACCGTTGCTGAACACGAACACGAACAAGTCATGTTTCCGCACACCGCACTCATCCAATTCATGCTCACCACAGCACAATGATTGAGAATTCGTACTGCCGCTCGACACTTCAGCGCGATCGTTCCACGTTAGCAATGGACACTCAGCAGGTTACGCGAATGACGGGCTCGGTGGCACGGCAGGCGGATCTGAA